TGTGTGTGTGTGTGTGTGTGTGTGTCTCTCTCTGTCCCTCCCCCGCTCCCACTCTGTCTCTCTCTCAAAAATAAAATAAACATAAAAAAAAAGTCAAGTCAGTTTCATGAGGAACACGGAGTGTAGGAGAGGGCACAGCAGTGATGGTGGCACAGACTCTCTGCCCGGCCCCTCCCCTGCCTGGCTTCCCCCCTCCTGCCCTGTTCCCGACTGTGCTCCCTCACATCACCCCATCAGCCTCTGTGGACCATGTCTGGCCTGGCCCTCCCGAGCTGGGCTGAGCTTGCCCACCTGTCAAATCCCTGTGCCTCTTTGCGAAACAAGCTAAAACCATCACAGCACAAGACCCAGGTGTAGGTCACTCCGTCCATGCTCCCAGTGTGTGTCACGGAGCGTGACAGGAGTCTGCCCTCCTCAGGATGACTTGTGCCGTGTCTGTGGAGCTGGTGCTCGCCCAAGGCCCCTGTGTGCGATGGCTGGGTGCGCTGGAGCCCAGCTCCCTTGCACTGCCCTGCGCCCAGTGCACTCCCGTCCTGGCCCCATGCCCAGCCGGGTGTGTGTGCAGAGTATGGGACGGCTGTATGCCACAGCCTGGGTCCCGGGGCCGCTCACCTCGCAGGTTCTTGACGAAGTCCTCCAGCTTCATTTTCCGCTCAGGTTTGACGTTGGGGCTGTACATGTCTGTGTTGAGCAGGATGATGGCAAAGGCCAGGATGAAAATGGTGTCTGGGTTCCGGAACTGCCGAACCACCCCAGGGTTGCAGATGCAGTACCGCTGGCTGGGGGCCGGGAGAGGGAGCAGGGTCAGGACCACTTCAGTCAGGGCAGGGAGTGGGTCTAGCCCTCATGCACGGCAGCCACCATCACTTGGGCCCTGGCACCTAATGGCTGAGGCCGGGTGCTGCCTTAGAAGCCTCAGTTTCTGCATCTGGTAAACGGGGGTAAATAACACCTGCCAGGCAGAGGGCCCCTCTATCCACTCTCTCCTTCTCACACTGGTTACATCTCCCACCTGTATTTAGGCTGGCAATGACTTCTTAGGACGAGGACTGCATGCCTCAGTCTCCCTCGGGATTGGATGCAGCCCAGAAGGTGATTAAGTTCTGGCCAATGGGATAAGAGCAGATGGGATGTGGGCATCTTCGAGGCTGTACCTTAAAAGGCAGAGCCCACTCCTCTCCCCTGTGGTGGTGGGTGTTGGCCCTGCTCCCTGGGACCCTGAGATGAAGGGAGCCCGGCTTGGGCCTCCTTCATGCCAGCTCAGAGGGAGATGCACTTCCATCTTGTTTCAGCCACGGCTGCTGGAGCATCTTTGTTACAGCAGCTGAAGCAACAGCCTCACTAATGTATTCTGCTTATTGTTCTCATTGCCTCAAATGTGCGCCCCTGCCCCAAACTCCAAGAGGCCCCCATCCACTGGGGACTTCAGGGGGAGCTGGGTGAGGGGGGCAGATCAGAGAAGAGGAACCATGGGGTGCCAGGACTAAGGCAGTGGCTATCACAGCTCAGATGACGTGGGCTTCAATCCTGCCTTTTCCATTAGTGACGCCACCTCCAAGAAGCCCTCCTGGAAGGAAGTGCCTGAACAACGCCCCCTCAGGGCCCCAGAGTTGTCCTCCTATTGTGTCCTCATTCCCCACCTTGGCCCCACCAGTGGTGCTGAGCCTGGAGGGCTGGGTCAGTGGCTGACTCATGTGTCCCATACCCAGCAAGGGCACAGAGGATCCCACCCCGTCACTGTGCACACAGTCCTGGGATGAATGACTGTAGGGTCGTAGCTGCCCTTGACTGTGGGCTTTGTCATGCTAGGCATGGGCTAAGCGTGCCCACACGTCCAAAGGGGTTCAGTCCTTCCACTCTGTCCAGGGTAGGTGCTTTCGTTATCCCCACTCTATAGGCAAGGACGTGAGGCACAGAGAGATGAAGTCACTAGTGCAAAGTCACACAGCTAGTAAGCGGTGGAGCGGGTGCTACAGCCAGGCCGTGTGGCTCTGCAGCTTGTGCTCTGGGTCACTGTGTGAGACTGGCTGCCCTCTGTGAATGGGCAGATGATGGGGACACGGGCTCACGAGTGAGTGACGCTCATGAGGACCTGGAAGAAGATGGACTGTCCAAAAGTCTGCTTCTGGCAATAACCAGCACAGCCCCTGGCATGCAGAAGGGGCCACTGCCTCATCTCCCCAGGCAAGGGCAAGGCCACCTGACCCTGCTTAGGGGAGGGGGTGAAGGGGGATTCGGGCCCCGGCCCTGGGCCTCACGACCAGAGACCTTCCTCTTGCCCACGCCTACCCACGCCCTGCCTCGCCCCGGACCTGAACGCCTCGATGAGCCGCTCCACCTTCTGAGCCTCCCCTTGGACCCGGATGTGTGCCTGGAACTTCCGGAGAGCTTCGTCCAGCTCCATGGCGGAGAAATCCATCTCGTCTACCACACAGCTGGAAAGAGACACCAAGGCCACGTCAGCGCCTGCTGCCCGCAGGGCCTCTGCCGGCCTTCCTGCTGGGGGCGGAGCGCAAAGGGAGTCAGTGCAGGGGCAGGTGCTGAGCTGCCTGGAGCCTGGACGGCCGGCGGCCTCTCGTCCAGGAGGGTCCTCCGCCCGGCTTCCTCCAATCAGCAAACACTTCAGATTATGTAGCCCAAAGACCCCCCTGAAACTATGGGAAGACATTAGTGCTTATATCTATGTGTGTAATTTTTTCTTTTTTCTAAAAATTATTTGAGAGAGACAGAGACAGCGTGAGTGGGGGAGGGGCAGAGAGCAACGGAGAGAGAGAATTGCAAGCAGGCTCTGTGCTGCCAGCGCAGAGCCCGACATGGGGCTTGAACTCACACAACTGCAAGATCATGACCCGAGATGAAATCAAGGGTCAGACACTTAACCAACTGCGCCACCCGGGCGCCTCGTACGTGTGTGATTTTCTACGGAGGAGCCAGACAGAGCCTATGGCTGCTCCTGATAAAGGCTGCCGCGGCACAAACAATCGGCTCTCGGGGCACGCGGTCCACAGGGCACAAAGCGAGACGTCCACAGGGCACAAAGCGAGACGTTACTGCTCTGGTCTGCTCGGGCTGTCCGCGAGGGATGCCAGGAGCACGTGCCCATCTTCTCCAGGAGGAAGCAGAGGCCCAGGGTGCTAACTCGCGGGGCAGTGACTCTGCCCTGAGCCGGTCCTCCCACGTGGAGGGTTTTGGGGCGAGGTGCCTGGGTTTTGCCGGGGATTTTCAAGAGGCATCTTGGAGAACCCCTGCCATCCTCATCTGCCAATCCGCCGAGTGGAGGCGGAGCTGACAGAAGGCGCTGGTAACCGGGTTTTGGTTCATTCCACTCATCCCAGCGCTGCCCCCCAGCATAGCATGCTCCGTTTCCTGAACAGAGAAGGCGGGGTCTGCACCAGGGACCCACTCAGCAAGCTCTGGTGTCCAGTGTATCCATTTGCAACAAAGCCATGGTCACCCCGGGTGTGGCTGCAGAGGCCTCGGCCATGGGGGGGGCCTAGTCCTCGCTTCCAGGGCCACCCTCCCTCTGTTGGGTGCCATGGGCTTGGGCATAAACTGTGCTGCCCCCAACTTCTCTGAGTGCTCACGGCTCTGGGGGCAGCATCCTCGGAGGCTGGGGCAGAGCAGGTGGGGGAGGGGGATGGGGCCACATGGAGTAATTTTGCTGACTAGCATCTGAGCTGGACGCCTGGGGTGGGGGGTGGGGTTAGGATTGCTACTTCCTCAGGCTGCTGCTATTTTCTGATGGGGAAGAACAATGCCTGGATTTCCTACCACCAGCAGCCAGCTTGGGGTGTATGGGGGGGAATGCAGGAACGGGGGCAGGGGACGGGGGGCTGGCCCAAGACAGCCTTAGGCCCAATTCTCTAAGGACCTCATCTGCTTTCCCCTGGACTGCTTCCTGAGGCTGGGTTAAAGGGAGAGAGGGGCACTAGCCACACTAACAATGCAGCAGGCTTTTCCTGATGGGGGAACACAAATGCCAAGCAGGGAGAAAGCAGCCCAGGTGGGCATGCCCGGTGCCAGGCACAGCCAGCTGCCACCAAAGGCCTGGCTCACTGCATCCTATGTGCCTGCGCATCTACCTGTGTGTACAAGTGGGCGTCCGTGTGCCCGAATGAGGACAAACGTGTGTACGTGAGTCCAGGTGTGTGTGTGGGGATGGGGGGAGCACCGAGGCCAGCCCCTCCCTGAGCCGAAAAAGAGGCCGCAGGCAGATGCCCGCCTCCTCCCAGGGAAGTGTAGAGATGGCGGGAACACGCATGGCCAGGCTCTTCCTTATTGCAGAGGTGCCTGGCCCCAGCAGGCCCGAGCCCGCCCCCCTTGCTTTGTTCTTTCATCCCGTAGGGCAGAGCTGGACGGATGCAGGGCGCTGCCCTTGTTACTAACGGTCCGCTCTTTACCCTGCTCTGATTTCTGCTCCTGGCCTACATCCTCTGTGCAGCTGCCTGGTCAGGAAAATCCTCAACGGGCTGGAGGTGCTCCCCAGGCCCTGAGCCACCCTATGCCATGCTATTCTGCAGCTTTGGCTCCTCCTCTGAGAGAGGGAGTTAGTGAGACCCGGCATCCCCTGACCCCTGCGTGAGGGGAAGACACAGGGCTTGTGCACAGTAACTGCACTACAACAGACCCAAGGGTCCAAGCGCAGGGTACCTGTCTACTCAGGGCAGTCTCAAGGAGGAATGGAGAGATTTGGGGTCCGAGCTTTTCAAACTGTCGGCAGTTTCCAGAGAGCTGGAAACCCGGCTTTCTGCAGAGTTCCAAGTAGCTGGGAGGGCTCTGGCTGTCAGCCATGGTTGGACTCTCACCCTGAGATCTCCCAGCCAGGAGAGGCAGGAAAGAGGCAGGGGAGGGAGGCACCGGGGGTCTCTCTGGGCTCCCCACCCCTCGCCCTGAGGGCGTGTTGGGACAGCTGGTAGCCAGGCTGGGGAAGGGAGCCCAGACCTCCAACCCCCCAGCCCTGCAGTGGCTCGGCTCTGCTGGAGAGGGATGGAGGTGCTGAGGGTGTGTGCCAGGGGGCCCGTGGGGTCCGTGTGTGACATACGGTGCCCGAGGGTGCAAGCACACACGTATGTGGCAGGGTGTGATGTATGAACCCGTGGGGGGCGTCCGTTTGTGTCTCAGAGCAATAAAGAGATAAGGGGAGGATTGGGTGTATGCTCCAGCAAGCAGGCGAATCTGATGCTGCGTGCGCCGCAGGTCCCTGCCCCCGCCCCCCCCAGCCGTGGAACTCACTCCAGCACATCTCGGTTGAACTGTTTCTGTCGGTTGCCCAGGAACTCGCCGATCATCTGCCTGCTGAGGCCCTTGCGCTGCAGCAGGAAGTGGGCCACCCCCACTGGCGTATCAGGCACAAAGCCACGTTCGATGAGGTACTGGACGCCCTTCTCAGGCTTCCTGGGGATGGGATGAGAGAAAGGCTTAGCCCTGGGTGTCCCAGCCCCTCCTGGCTTGCCTCTCTCCTCCTTGGGTACCGTAAGTGCCCTATCCTGTTCCGCCCGGAGCCCGCAATATGGGGGAACCCGGGAGTGCCCAGACTGTGCACCGGGCGTGGGCTGGGACTGGGCCACTGGCAGGAGTGTGGGCACCGGTGCTGGAGCAGGGACCCTCCCCACCCCCCTACCACTCTGCACTGCCCTGTACTTCACAGCCAGCAGACTGGAACCCCCTGCCCAGCATATGCTGGCCTGCCCTCCACCCACTGAGAGTAAACAGTCTCTAATAGGTGCTGAGCACTTACTCTGAACACCGATGTCCAAGCACCTACACATATTAACTTACTTCTCACACTCCCCCTGCCGGTTGGTACTCTTGTAACCTGGGCTGTTTAGGAGACTGACAGCCCTGTCACCTCACCAGGGGCCTCAACCACCCTTGTAAAGACTTCCTGAGTTTGAACAGAGTCAGGTGCCTGGAATGATCTGTGCGGTAAGCACCGTGGAAGGTTCTCGTGACTAGCTCCAACTTATGGGAGAGAAAGCAAAGATGCAGCACTGACCCCTCCTGGGCAAAGGGAGTTTCCGGGAAGGGCTGGGCTGGCCCTGCAGGGCTGAGTGTGTCCACCTGCACTGGGAGCCATGGGGCCCTGGTGGGCTGTGGTGGAGGGAGCCCCCTCAGGGGCTGGGCAGGAGGCCCAGGACAGGCTTGGCTGACCTCACAGGGTGGTGTGACGGGGCCGCATGTGTGACCCTCGGAAAGCAGGTGTCCTCTGACAACCCCCGAGCCTCAGACGGGCCCGAGGAGCTGTGGAACCGCTGTGGTGTACCTGGCACCGTGCAGGGGTGAGGTCAGCAGGGCTACCCGCTAACTGGGAGCCGTCCCCTCCCTTGCTCCAGCAGGTAGAGATCCGTGTACTGCTGTCCCCCAGGAGCCTGGAAGGTGAGAGCCAGTGTCCACCTGTCCCCGTAAACCATGCAGCTCCTGGCTGACGGCAGCATCCGGCAGATACTGTATTTCCACCTGCCAGCGAAAGCAAACTTCCTGCTGCAAGGTGACCTTGCTATTTTTACCCCAGGATGACCACACACCCTAACATCACCTTCAGGAGTTTTGGCAGGGAGCAGCTGCTGGCCAGCTGGGCCCAGCACAGAAGTGGTGACAGAGTAGCATTGCTCCCCCACCCCTGGTGGGACCCCACCTCCACCCCCTGCCACATACCCCATTCCTCCCCATGACTCTGGTGTATCCAACCTAGAACTGCTCCCGTCCCAGGCCTCCCCAGCCACTCAGCTGCTCATGCTGTGGTCAGGGCAGGCCATGCTCCCTCACAGCCCTGCTCCACGCCAGCCCCTACAGGACCCCAGCCCTGTGGCAAGGGGTCACCGCGGCAAGCCCGCAGATGGGCTTTCTTTAGCTCATGCGACATTAGTGGAAAGAATTCTAGTTAGTCGCCAGCATTTAGAAATTGGGAGAGCTCAACACAGAATCCAGATTTCTGGCTTCTCTTGAAAAATCAGGCCGTCTGGCACTCCTGGGCCTGTGCTCCTGTGTGGCAATGACTGGAGAGCTGGGCTGGACCTCCTCGCTCAGGCACCCTGCATCAGCCACCCACCCTGGGGCCTGCCTGGTCCCTCCCCTGAATCCCCAATATGGGGCCCAGATCCAGGCCCAGCCTGCCAACATCACACAGCATGTCAGACTTCCAAGATTTGGTCTCCTCTACCCGGGGAGGAGCAGAATGCAGAGGGAAAGCAGAATGCACTCTGGAGGGAGAGTCTTACAAGGGGCCAGGGGAATGCGGATTCTTCAAAGATTAAGGACAGAGAGTCTACTTTTCACTAGGCCCAGCTCAGGATGATAGCAGTGAACAGGGCTGGTCATGAATGAATGCCTAGCACAAAGGCAGGCTCTAACCCTTGGTCTCAAGGACAAAGGGACAGAATGATGGCAGGAGGGTGTAGGGAAGGTCTCCTGCGGGTGAATCAGAGGACTTCTCTGAGCAGGTGACATTGGGCACCTAAGTTATTAAGGAGCTTCCTAGGTGGAGGCAATAGTGCATGCAAAGGCCCTGAGGCAGCCATGGGTTTTGCAGGATTGAGGACCAGGAAGCTGCTTGAGGGTGGCTGAGAGTGGGGGTGTGAGGGGAGGGGCAGAAGAGCAGCACGGAGGGTGGGCCAGACTCCACAGCACTGTGCAGGCCACAGGGGGAATCTGGTTTTCCTCTGAGTGGGGTGAGAAGCCCCAGTATATTAAGAATAGGGCAATGATGGGATCTGATGTCCATGCTTGAGAAGCTCCCGCTGTCTGCTCTGTAAAGAGCCAGGCTAGGTCCAAAGTGGGAGCCCAGTGAGGAGGCTCCCACAGGCATCCAGACTACAGTGCAGGAGGTGGAGAGAGCAGCCAGTGTTCAGACACAGCTCAAGGGTAGAGATGACAATATTCGCTGGTGGATCTGACTTTGAACCCAACGGCCCCAGCTCCCAGTCTGAACCAAATGTGGGAGGGACTGATTCTACCTGGCAGGTTTCACAGTAATGTCGCAGTAGGAAGGAATCTGACTGGGCCTTGCGCAGGGACCAGGAGCTCGCTGAGCAACTGAGAGGGAAGATGTGGTGGCAGAAGGCATGGAAGGGAGCTGGGGTGGGGAGCGCGGGCCAGGCTGGGAGCTCCAGGGTCAGGATGAATGTGGCTATCCAAGGAAGCCTCTGGAGTGGCTGGGCCTGCAGCAACTTCCTTGACAGCACGTGGCCAGTGCACTGGATATCTGCTGCTGTGAGTCCCTTGCCTGTCAGGACTGTGCTGGCCCCACCCTCCCTGGCAGTGCAGTGAGGCCCCCAGCGTGCTCCTGGGGGCCCTGCCAGGCGGTGGTCCTGGATCCACCTGCTCCCTCACACTGTTCCATGCTGACTGGAAGGGCATGTGCCCACAGATCTTGCTAGGCGTCACACACAGTGACCTGCTGGGTGAAGGGGCACAGGCGGGATGAGTCATGAGTGCTGCCCTCCCACCTCCCCTTGTGGCAGTTAGGGGACCATATGACATGCTTTGGCCAATGCTCTTCCTATGGGAGCTGCATGATCCCTTATGGCGATGGCGCCTTCTCTTGCCACAGGGAACCGGGAAGGACACCCCCGCTGTCTTGTCCCTGAGAGACTTGATGAACAGAGCCCCTGGCCAACCTATGATGGATGCCAGCGTGCCAGAGAAATTAACCTGTGCCGTGCCAGCATGTCAGAGCCCACCCAGACTGGCCGAGGAGGGCTAGTCCGGCCGTGGAAACTGGGTCACAGAGCGTCCACCCAAGCGCAGACACGGTGGTGGGGCTCTGTCTCCCTCCCCACCTGTGGCTTTACATTCCCTTCCTACAAGGGTATCGTGGGACTCCCGTCTGGAACCCCAGGCTCTAAAGACTGAAGAGGTCACAGACTGGGGCTCACCTGGCTCCTGACCCTTAGGTCCGGCAAGGGTCTGGCCCACACAGAGCATGCCCATCAAAGGAGGCACAAAACGTGCCTTGGAGAAGGGATGCCTTAGCCTGGGTCACCAGGACCCTATTTTAAAACCTTTTCAGGGCCTCCTAACCCCTGCAGGACAAGATCCGGTGGACACTCTTCCCCTTGAGTCACTTCTTCATTCATTCCACAAACATTTACTGAGTACCTGCTCTGGGCCAGGGGCTGTGCTAGCATACCTGTGGTCCAAACAAAGTCCCCATCCTTGAAAAATGCCCTACCTGGAGCGCGATAAAGAAGGGAAACAACTCCCGGGATATAGAAATGCTCACAGCATAGGAGTCAAGGGCATGTCCTCTGGAGCCTGGAAGAGGGGGACCTGCTAGAAGGAGTGGCAGATGCAAAAGCCTTATTTGACTCGTAACTAAAAGGGGGCACAGAAAGGTCAAAGAACTTGGCTCTGGGTTACCAGGCGAGAGAAAGCATGTCGGGAGTGTCAACCCACTCCTCTGCTCCAAGAGGCCCCCCAAAGTTCCACTTCGCCCTCCCCACCATCACTGCTGCTGGAAATCCAGTCTATCCACCCGCTGAGCCGGCTTGCTTCTCCCAGGGCCCGGCGTCAATAGGTGCCGAGAGTGACAGCTATGCCATCCACACCTGACCTGCTGCTGCATTCTGGGCCCCACCAGAAAGGGCCCTCGAAAGGCATCAGCAGGACAGGCTGGAGCGGAAGAGTCCACAGCTTGGCCCTGCTGCCTGCCACCAGGCGGGGCTGGCTTTTCTCCACGTCAGCCGCTGATTCAGACTTGGCTGTGACAGGCGAGCACGCGCAGACCACACGCGTGACGTCTCTTACGTGCATCTCCCGTCGCAGGGCTGCGAGCAGCCGGCGGTGACGCCACGCTTGCGGGACTCCACTGAGGGCAGTTACGAGGCTGGGCACCGCACTTAGGGGTCACCCACTTACTGGAACGCGAAGCTAAGTGCTTTGCAGGCTCTTTTCCCAGCAGCGGTCTGCAGGGCCAACAATGGGCTTCCCCTGTCGTTTCTAGTTGCTGGAGCAGCTGAAGAGAAGTGGGAGTGGGCAGCTGTCCACACCTCCCGGCCCGGCGTCTAGGCCATTTGGATGGCCCTCGGATGTCCCACCCCACCCGCTCTTCCCCCTCACCCCGCGGGCTGACCTCACCCCCAGCCTGGCCAGTCAGAGCTCGGAACCTGCTGACCACAGCGAGCAGTGCGGTGTGAGCTGGCAGGAGCCAAAGAGAGAGGAGAATCTCTTTCCCCTGGGGTTGCCGTGAGGCTGGACCGTGAGCCCAGGACTTCTGGCAGGCCTCCCGCCCTGGTGGGGCAGAGGACGACTCTGGGGAAAACGGCTGAGAGTCGCCCAACGGCTTTTCAGGTCCAGAACCAGTAAGGCCTCTTTGCTTAAACCAGTTTGATTGGGTTCCTGCCACTTGGAATGGAGAATGGCCCTGACTCACGGACACCAAAGCAAAGGTCTGTTTG